TTCTTTTTCTTTTTCTTTTTCTTTTTTTTTTTTCTTTCTTTCTTTCTTCTTTTCTTTGGTTGTATCCGGGTTGGGTTTATGTCGCTCGGGAGTATCTTTAGCAGATACTAACTTAATATAGCTGTGTTTCTTGGTTGTGGAGGTCAATCCGGTCAATCCAGTCAGTCCGGTCAGTCTGGTCAGTCTAGCCAATCTGGCCAATCTGGCCAATCTGGTAAAACCGGCTCATCGGGATCCAACTCAGGTGGCTCAAATGGCACACCAAGCTCGAACAACCCAAGTGGCTCAAACCCAATGGGGTCCTCAAGTAACATGGGAAGTTCGAGTAACATGGGAAGCCCCTCCGGAAACTCGGGCAGCCTGACCGGTCCTAGCAGTTCTATGGGCAACTCAGGAACTATGGGAAACACAATGGGAAGCCCGTTTGGAAGTTCCGGCAGTCTGACTGGCCCTGGTAGTTCCATGGAAAGTTCAATGGGGAGTCCATCCGGCAGCTCAGGAAGCCCGTATGGAAGCTCGGGCAGTTCGGCTGGCCATACTGGAAGCTCATATGGCAATCCTTATGGAAGCTCGGGTAGTCTCACTGGCTCGGATAGTCCAATTGGGAGCTTGATGGGAAGTCTGTTTGGTAGCTCAAGTGGCATGGGGAGTTCATATGGGAACGAAAACAGTATGAGCGGCCAGGGAAGCTCGATAGAAAGTCCACCGAGTGTGATTGATTCGGGGAGCTCAGATAGCTATGGAAATATGGGAAGCTCGTATGGATATGATGACATGGGAAGCTCAGACAGCTATGGTGGCATGGGGTACTAAATTTTGCAGATTGCCGTGTTATGCGATCCTACTACAGCGCACGACAAGAAATGAAGTTCGACTTTGGTGGACATGATTGTCCTTCATCAGGTGTGATATGTACTGCAGTCTGCAGTGCTAGGATAATCGTCTTGCGTCTTTTTGTCTTATCGATCCCCAGACCCTGGATGATTCCATTATTTCTGTAATGAGTATAGATCTGGGATACCCACTATGAGGTTTAGATCCATCATTTTTGCTAATGTAACTCAGAGAAAGCATCATAAATGAAAGACTACTGCAGATGTTCAGTACTTTGCGCCATGCGGTAGGACAGTACTGGTCTTGCCTTAGTCTCATGGTCAAATTGTTCGATCAAAGCTTACAAGGACTTAAGAAGTGGGATTGATAAAGCTGAGTACTTGGAGAGTAAAAGCCGCCTATACTCTGTATATAAGATGGGATTTGCCTCAAAAGTAGTAGGCATGGACTGTTTACCTGACAAAGGAACGCGTAGGCGCTAGGAACTCGCGGTCAACATGGATCCACTATGAAGAAACACTGGATCAACCCTCATTGCTTTCTATAGCCACCGATCTCTCCTTACAAGAACATTTCCCCCATCACTTTCTACAAGGCCAAACATGTCTCAGGCAAAGAAGGCACTGGATGCCGTCGAAAAGTTAATGACGATGTTGGACTTTGCTGTTAATAATTGGAGGTGTGCAGACCCCATAAAATCCGTCCACCGTAGCAAGAAAGGCTGACAATCAACGTTAGCATTGAAGGTTATCAAAAGACTCTAATTAACAATCTAGTGGGGCTCAAGAATCAAATGCAGGAAGTTCACGACAGTGTTAAATAAGAGGCATCCGCCGATGGGGGAATAGAAAAGTCAGACCCCGATGAGATGAACGAGCTTGTGCGTGGGATGTTTTATGTAAGTCTACTCTCCACCTTGTGCATTGCGTTTAGTATAATCCAATCGATGCCCTTTTTCATGGGAATAGCTGTACGGCGACTTGGCCGTGAGCTTCCAAGCTCTTGCGGATTATGCGGAACCTGAGGGGAGCGAGCCTGTCTTCCAAGCCCTACTTGGCTTTGTGACTGAGGTTGGGGTAAGTCAGGGTCCTATTAACTCTTTACTGGTCTTGGTTGATAATTAACTGTAACAATAGATCATATATATTGCTCAAACCAGCGCTTTTCGTTACAAGGGCGATGGGAGAAGAAACTGGCACAAAAGAGAAGCATAATGAACTTGCGCCGGACCAGGAGGAAATATTCTTTCATGTGGTTTCGTCCGCGGCATGCCATTGCCTGCATGTGTGGATACCGGAGCATGCGAGGGGTGAGGAGGATTGCCGACCTGATACAAAAGCCATAGAACGACAGACAGTGTAGGCTTTTCAGTTACCTTTGGGTGCTGTAGCTGTGCAAGGGTACAATGACGTTACAAATTACTCGGATCAAGTCTCATATGTCACATACCTTATAATATAATTGGATTTCGGGCACTATTCAGATCTAGATGCAAACTGCCAGTATATGCATATCTATGCTCATCATGTGCATATACCACGGGTGTAGGTTATATAAGGCAAGACCAAGCTCTCACACAGTCATTAATTCGATAATTATTAGTCTTTAGTATTTAGTCCACTAAACAGTTCGAAGACAAAATGGTATTTACCCCCATTAGAGAAATAGGGCTCAAACTACCAATCCCGCCACGATATCTAAGGCATGAATATAGAGTGATGGCAAAGCGTGCAGATCATAGTAGAAAATAATGAACAGTCTACAGATTTAGTCTATATTTGTAACGAAGCCCGACAGGAGATATAAAAAGGGCGGATCTAGTTTCCTGCCTTCTTGAATTTGGATCATAATCTATAAGGTGGCTGGCTGAAACGAACCCGAACATCGCCATCTTCCCCCAACATTGATCTATTTGTATGCTATCTAGTTATCACTCTCTCTTTGATCCAGCTAGGAATATGTCTACTGGGACATGTCAGAGTGGTCTTATACACTTATAATTTAGAGCATTAACACACTCTAAACAGTAAACATTTAGAATATATTATAATTTGTCTACTAAACACCTTGTGTATACATACAATGACATCTACCTCTCCAAGAGAATTCTAGTAGGGCTCAAGCTCAAAGCAGTCAGCCCGCAACAACACCTCAGGCATCAACATAGAGTGAGTACCGAGTACTAGTAGCCGAAACTCACGGTAAAAAGCCCACGTGCATATCATAGTACTTAATTCAAGTTGTGATAGGGTATAGATTTAGTTTATAGACTAAAACCATCGGAAAGGGTACCCCGCAACGCCATTGGCCTGACAGGATGTAAGTAATTCAAAGCCCCGAGCGAATGGGAAGGAGACCTTCCAGCACGTTGATCTTGGCCTATCTCGGTATTTTGGAGCATGTTCAATCAGCTGTGACTGTGACTACATTCAGCCAGGTACAGAGAAAAATGTTAACGAACTAGGCATGAACCCTATGTCGGATATTTATTAATTGTCTTTCTTTCCCACATGTACATACCTGAGAAAACAAGTTATATATTTCCTTCCCAATGCTCTCATTACTTTCATAATTCTTATCATCTAGTACTCAATTGTCCACACTCTCTAAAATCCCCATGAAATTATCCATAGTATTGACTGCACTGCCCTGGACGGCAGCAGCAGCAGCAGCAGCAACAGCCCTCCGACCCAAATCCCACATCGTCAACCAGACTACCTGCGGCGGTACAACATACGCATACACTGGTCTGGAAGGTTACGGATTCATCCCTTCCAACGCAACCGACAAGTATGGCGACACAATCGGCGGAATTGGCAGCTCCATAGCCATTGAGCCAGATTCCTGGCGCCGAACAGACAAAAACACCTACTCAGGGATTGTCTACGCTCTACCTGACCGTGGCTGGTACATATAACCTACTCCCCAACATACAAACTCCAATTGAATGAATACCAACGAACACATATATCCAGGAACACAAACGGAACCCTAAACTTCCAACCACGCATCCACAAAATCGCCCTAACACTCACCCTCGCACGCAACGCCTCCGCCCAAACCCCCTCCCCCCCTAACCTGCACCTAAAATACCTCGACACAATCCTCCTCACCGGCCCCGACGACCTCCCCACCACCGGTCTCGACCCCGATGTAACCGGCGCCGCATCCTACCCAGGCTACCCGCCGCTGCCGGCAGCCACCTATGTCGGTGACGGCTTCGGCGGCGAAGGACCCGGCGGGCAGCGTATCTCCCTGGACCCGGAGGGTCTAGCCATTGACAACGACGGTGGGTTCTGGGTGTCGGATGAGTACGGGCCGTACGTGTACAAATTCAGTAAAGAGGGGAAGATGATCCTGGCGATTCAGCCGCCGGAAGCGATCCTACCCCGTCGGAATGGGACATTGAGTTTCAGCGCGGCTAGTCCGCCGGTGTATAACCCCGAGCTGGAGATTAACCCGGAGGATCCGCAGTCCGGACGGAACAATAACCAGGGGTTGGAGGCGTTGACTATATCCCCTGACGGAAAGACGTTGTACACTATGATGCAGTCTGCGTTGAACCAGGAGGGCGGGCCGAAGAAGAAGAATCGGCAGCCAGCCCGTCTTCTGGAGTATGATATTTCTTCTTCTTCTTCTTCTTCTTCTTCTGGGAAGCCGGTATACAAGCATGAGTATGTTGTGCTGTTGCCGAAGTATGAGGATTATACGAAGAATGAATCGGTGGTGGCGTCGCAGTCCGAGGTGCATATGCTTCCTACTGGGGACTTTTTGGTTCTTTCGCGGGATTCTGGGTTCGGGCATGGACAGGATGAGACGAGGTCTGTGTATCGACATGCGGATGTGGTTTCGATTGGCAATTCGACGACGGATTTGAAGGGCACGTATGATAGTGTTGGGGCCAGTGTTGCTTCGTCCAAGGGGGTGTTGAAGGATGACATTACCCCGGTGGAGTACTGCTCATTCCTGGATTATAATGTTGAGTCCGAGCTGGCCAAGTTCGGGCTTCATAATGGTGGACCGCAGGATGCGTTGCTGTTGAATGAGAAGTGGGAGAGCTTTGCGCTTGTTCCTGTTGAGCCGGAACAGCACAAGCGTGGCTCGTCCAAGACAGAGTATTTCTTGTTCAGCTTCAGTGATAATGATTTTATGACGCAGGATGGTGAGTCTTTCCTTCCTGGTGTGAATGTGTCTGTGAAGACGTTGGCTGACCAGATGATATTTTACTTACCAATAGGGCACATGAACTTTGGGCGTTACAAGTACGCCGATGAATCGGGTTACAACATTGATAACCAGGTTCTGGTCTTCAAGGTGGAATTCTAAGGATTTTAATATGTGTGTATATATTCCTTGATAGATTGGTAGATCGATTTTGTTGTTCATGATTATGTCCATTAAAGCATTGAAGCAATGAATTAACAATATGTAATAACCGACATGCTGTCGGTGTTCTGATTGATGCCTGCACCATATACAAGTACAAGCGAAAGAGTAAGAGTGGAAAGAGATGGGTTGGCCAAAAACGCCCCGTTCCATAAATGCAATCTTGATGTGCGCAGTTCACAGGAATTTCATAGCATAGTAAATTAGAAAGTCAACTGACATGTGATAAAGGAGACAACTCGGCCTCCGAACTGAACGAGAACATAATGGCAACCAGATGGATCGACTAAATGGTGTAGAGATCCCTAGTCAAAGTGCGTTATCTGCGTCAAACGTTTCATAACCTATGACAGAATATTTGCATGCCAGGTGTGAAAAGTAGTCACTAGTTGGCAATGTTAATCGCGCGTAGAATGTCGTCTAGGGACCATCCTGGGCCACCAGGAACGATTTCAGCCCATACTTCCTCGGGGACCGCGCTCTCACGAGGAATCAAACTCCAATTAGGGCTGGGTTCGGGCTTGATCCATTTGAAATCTTCAACCTGGCTCCAGTGGTCTTCACTGTCCGGGTGGTCATGGTCCAAAGCCTGCAAGGGCATGTGTTAGCGGGGTTGCAGTGAAAGGCAGAATTACTAGTCACATACGTATACTCTTGGTATCTGGGCAAATCGAATATTGGTGCAGTCCTCAATAATCGGGTTGCTGGATGCGCTCAGGTACACATCCACGTTAGAACAGTTGTGCATGCGGAATTGGCGGCAGGTCACTACGATGGTAGTGTTTTCCACATCGGTGATGTGGGCTGGACCGTTAATCTGTCCGCAAACTAGCAGGCTCTCTTTGACGCCCTTGATCGTTAGACTGGCGTAGGGCTTGCCGTTGGCAGTGGGGATGGACATGTCCACGACGCAATGGCGTAAGGACGTGATAGAGGCAGGCACTGTAGCCGTCGAACCGGAGGATGGAAGCATGATATGGAGCCCAACATGGTTGTTCACGGACACAGATGACACAGCAGTGGCCGCAAAGGCCTTACCCTTCTCGTTCCTCGACTTGTCTTCACCGTCGTCCACATCAATGGTCGGGAGAGCTGGGAAAGAAGTCGGGGCAATTTCTGCTCTTGGTTGCAGGATACGATCCGGCTCATTCAACGGCGTAGAGGGATAATTGGGGGTCTGAGCGGCGGATGAATCCACTGAGGATGTTCCCGGCGAGAGGTATCCAGGCATACTCCGACCATGATAAACTATGTTGGCCGCATCAGACAAGGAAATTGCCGAAGCATTTTTCTTAGTCTTGAAGCTGAACTTAGGGCGCGGCTCGACCGTCGCCCGAGTCTCAACTAGCTTATCCTGGAGGGCCTTGATAGCCTAGATGATGGATCAATACAAGACACGCGTCAAGGCGATATTATTCAACCTACTTCCGCATATATGCGCTGATCATATGTGGGGATATAGCTCGCTGCGTCCTTGACTTCGTTGGACAATCGGGCAATGCCAGCTAGGCAGTGGTCGGTCGCATCCGTCCGTTCTCCTCCCACAAGAGAGGTATCCGCGAGACGGTCCATCTGTTCTTGCAGAGCTATAGGAAGCACGGGTGTCAGATGATCTCCGACTGTGCACATAGGATCACAGTCCATCAACTAGGTCATACCAGTGATCTCATGTTGAAAGTAACGGAAAAAGCGCTCTTTCAAAGGGATCTCAGATTTGAGAATGGTCTGATTCTCGGCCTGAGAGGGCCGACGGGCATCGCGAATCTCGGACTGAGACATGACGATAAGTGTCGTGTAGGGGACAATGAAATGAAAGGGGAAGAGGGAGGTTGTTGTTCAGACTCGAACTACTCTAGAGTTCCCGAGACGGTCCGCGTAAGAATGAACGGATTGATGACGTCGTCTTGAAGGCATATATATACCAAAGCCGGTTTGACTTGCGTCGACACGGCAAAGGCCTTGAACCCCTTACTGTAGGCGTTGCTTGGGATGGAAAGTAATCTGCACCGAATTTTCTAAAAGTCAATGCGAATATTAGCTCATTCCAGCTGCACGCAATCTCAGGTACTGGACTTTGACAAGCTGCAGAAGCTCCGACGGTCGATCACCCGCACGATCCACCAGAGGGACAGAGGGAACTGAACGAAGCTGACTTTTGGCACGGCAGAGTCACTGATGGTCTCCAATAGCAAAGGACATACCTCTAGTAACCTCTTGTAACTGACTGATTTGCTCTTTTCGTCTCTGATGTTTTCAAAGTGACGATCGATCATCATGGAACCCCCTCGGGACTCGGGACCTCGATTATTCCGGGGAAGCTCCCCCGCACTAGTCCGGTCTTGGTAATGACGGGCATGATCCAGATGAACGTCCTCAGGCATCGACTTTTACCGTTCTCGAATCAAACTACTGCTAGTCCGTGTAGTCCACATACGAGAGTACAATGAAGGAATGTGTGCTGAATGCAGAAATATTATATTTATTATTGATTTATACTCGATCCTCTATGATCTTATGCCCAAGAATTAATGTGGAATCAGCCTTGGTATCTTCTTCGATCATCATGTTGATGGTAGCTCAGCTAGCTTGCTGGTTATGGATATGTACCCATCCAACTCAGAGCTTTGTTGTTTGGAGAGCAGTGAAGCTCGCCGGAATTGCGCATCAGCCGTGGGCCGTTCAAGGATCAGCCGGTCAAAATCAGAGCGCAAATCATAATCTTTAGATGTCTGGGCCCCCTCGTGCAATCGCACCGTCCGGAGCATCAATTTCCCATTGTCCATCCAGAAAAGCTGTACCTCGTCGTCCTGTGGGAAGGCCAAGCTCAAGTAACCGGGTCGGAAAACTGACGAACTGATCTTATGTGAGGCTTTCTTCATCCGAGACACACGCGTAGACCCATTAGTATTGGAATCGAACAGGTATATCTGGTTCATGCCGTTCGCAATTGCAAACTGCGACCCCGAGGCGGATTGGGCTGCGTGCGTGATGCGGGTGCTATTTGGGTCTTTCAGCATGTCTTTATCGGTGACGGAGGATGATTTCGGGAATTCCTTTTCGAAGTAGGCGGGTAAGAGAACTGCATGGTGAACATTATCGTAAAACACACAGGTGAGGTCTTTGTTATTAGTCGTTCGCTTGTATTGTTAGTCACTCGTGCAAAGGAAAAAGGGAGAATCTCGAGAGACATACGTGAGAAAGCCTAAACGACTGTGATTTACCAGGGACAGTATCCCACCGTTTGAGGGACAAGTCCCACACATCAACATAGGCATTGTAGTCGGTAAGGTGCGTCGCAATGACAAAATATTTCCCGTCCACTGAGAACTGTAGCTTTCTTTCAATGATCGCTTCTTGCCCAGGAGTACCGTCGTTTCCTAGGGGCGATGCTATGTGCGTTGGCGCCGGATTCATCTCATACAGAGACGCGCTGGGGTCTCCGGTATCCCCAAATGAGACTCTTACAATGCCGCCCGCAATAATTTCGTAAACTCGAACTTCGTTTTTGAGGGTAAATGCAATGTATCGATCGTCGCGAGACATAACCATATGGATCGGAGGTAGGGATGGGTTGTGTATCTCGATCGGCAAATGAGCTTCGGCACTGAGGCCAAACCCCTTGAATACCAGAAGCTCGTAATGCTGTTTGTGTTGTCAGTTCTGGCCAAATTGCTTCAAGGTAGATGAGCGAAGGTCCATATTACCTCTCCAACAGCAGCTATTACCGCGCAGCGCTGGTCTCCGGCGGCAACGTATTGCACGCCGGAAACATCATATCGGTGACTTCTTGGCTTCTGCGCTCCGGCACTGGGTGTCTCAAACCTGGCCACCCAATTACTTCCAACACCCCAAAGAAGAAGGCTTCGGCCTGACGCGGAAAAGCAGAATCTGGGCTCACGAGGTAAATGGTTCTTCTTCACTGATACCCGTCGAAACAGGGAAGAACCGGTGGAAAAGGGTAGAGAGACATTTTTCAGTTCTCGCGGGAATGACCTTGTGCTGGATTTCTCATATAAATTATCGGTTTTAGCACGCGCTAAAAATGAGTTCTGTGGGTCCGAGGGTGTAGTAGGAGAATATTTGTTATTCATCGCACTGAATACTGGCTTGAAAGTCGCAGGCGAGATTGGACTCCATGTCCCGTCGCCTGAGTCTATACGCACGGATGAATGGCTAGTGGAGTGACTAAGGGAGCTCGAGGAGGTCGTGTTTTGAGACATGGATTCAGGAAAGGAGTAGCTTCTGATACTGCCCGATTCGAAGCCAATGCGTGTTTGGGAAAGCCTGGCAGGTTCCACCATCCGTGCATGTTGTATTTTCGTGTTTGTTGGACACAAAGGGCAGTAAATATTCAGTGTGAGGGTTTGAGCGTTGGCTCGTAATTGCTATGGAAGTGTTGAACCTCTACCGTTATTATGATGGAACGATTGAGTGATGGCGTTATGAGGGGATTCGCATACCTCGCAAGCATTTTTATCCATCCGCTCTTCCAATAATGATCTGGGGACCGAATGCGCAGCAGGGCAATCCACATTGTAAAGTACTTCATCTTGACGATTTGGTTGATTCGCTTCTTGGAGGGGTGAAAGCTGCAACCACTCTGTGAGATTCTGTTGATAGTGGTGCGAGGTAGCCTCTAGCTCTCCGTTGCAACCCCACAGTTGGACTCTACGGTTGATAAGCCATCTCACCAGATGACTCAGGGATGTTTCGCAGATTTCCCTAATACGAGATAGCTGAGCCCAAGTATCCCGGATTCGTCGTGTTTGGAGGGGTGGATGAGCTTCGGCATTCTGGCTTAGCACAACTGTCGCAAGTATTTGTAGCGGGGGTGCCGTGAATTCATCATTGAACGCTGCTAAAACTGTCTTCGCCAGTTTCAGTTTGTTCTCTCGCGCGTGATCAAAGATATCGTCCACGTCCAGTGCCGCAACTAGGCTATGCCCTTGTTCTTGGGACAACCGGCGGCGATCTATATGAGACTGTACCATTGTCGCCTCGGCGGCCCATAGCATGTCAAACAAAGATAAAAAGGGAGTCATCTGATCGGTGTTTTTCTTCAGAAGTCCCGTCAAAAGGTCTGTCAGAGTCTCTGTATTCCCCAGTAATGAGTTCTATCATGCGTAAGCCGAACTTGTTCCCGGGAGGGCTTACAGAGATGCGTGTTAGAACTTACAGGTTCCATGGCAGTGAATTTAGGATTACTTCCGTGCGACGCAGGGGAAAACATATGACTTTTAGAGGACGAATCCGAGGATTCTATACTATCGATGACGTTGGGCAGCAAATTGCTGACCATAAACCTCTCTGCGCCAGGCAGCTCCGAGTCTTGCCAGGCTTTCCTGATCGCACGTTCCAGATTGAATTTCATCTCATGGGGAATGCTTTGACCTCGCAACAGAAGCAGTCGCGCACCGGCGAGTAACGTGAGGGCGAGAAAGTGTCTATATTTGACCAGCTCGGGGGTGGTTGCTTTGCTGTACGGGAACAACTTCGGCTTCACCTGCACTAGGTACATGAGGGTCGAGAAAATCACTTCAGAGGGGAGGAGGTATGAAGTGGAGGAGGGGTGGCCATCATCGAAATTCGTCAACCCCTGTAGATAGGTTCTCTGCAAGTCAAAAATAGCTTTGATCCAGAACACAGCGTGCATTAGATGCTCGACTTTCGCGACATCGGAAGCATCCTCCGCTTGAAAGATGGCGACATCCGTAGCATGTTCGCCGATAATTTCCCTCACGATATTGGTTATGTCACGACGCCGTAACTGTTCCCACACTGCTGCCACGAGTGGATGTGACATGGGGAAACCGGGGGCAAATCCGCCACCAGCATACGAGCGATTCAAATATTAATTATTTATCTGTCGCGAAGCTGTTGATAGTTTGATTCGGAGCAGAATGTCAGATTGCGACGGAAAGCTGCGACCGCGTTGTGAGATAGGGGTTGAAAAGATGGCATTTTCCGTGACGGATGACAGGTCCGAAAACATGGTGGAATTTGGATGAAAGGGGAGAAAAGGTGCTGCAAGGCTATCTCAGCTGACGCGAGGCTGCGTGTCTCGTCTTACAAGGACAAACGTTGTCCCTGTCATCTTTTCCCCCTCCTCCCCAACCCGGTTGAATTGTCCAATCACACTGCATTAAATCCTCCTGCAAGGACCTTCGCACATTGATCGGCCACCGGAGATCTTTTTGTGTGGGCGGAAAATCTTTTGGGGAGAAGAGACGAGACGTTTTCTCTTTTCGGCTCACACCAGAATGACTTGTCACAAATCAACTTCCAACAATGCGGGTGGTTTGTTGTTTGTTTCTCTTGAAACGTGACACTTTGCCCAACAGGGGGTCACATGAGTTACCAACACAATGAATGACTTTGTGAAACCCTACAGAAGGAATTTGGAATTTACAATCAATTCCATTAGATTGTTTCAAAAAGCATACAATGCATTAAAAACATAGTGGATGTTTCAGAAGTGTCTTACTCTCTTGCACTGTACTATAGAACTGTACTATATAACTTTAAAAAAAAACCCCTGTCCAAAACCCTCCGAGATGTAAATACTACAGACGACCTCAATTCAGAGTTAATAAAATTCGATTCTCATTCTCCATGCGGTCATCTCGGAAACCCCTTGCTTAAATACATCCAGATGAGACTCTGATCCTCATAGCTTTTGGAACCGAAGTGAACGCCTACATTCCTCAAGAAACTTTCTTACGGAAGACCACACGTGGGTTGCCGTAACTCAATCAAGAATGCACTAGCCACTTAGATGTGTCAGATGAGGTTGATGGATGCGAAGTCGCTTGATCATACTTACTCCAGAGCTTAGAGCTGGACAGAACGATAGAGTTTCGTATCGGCTCACGCGAGCTTTGTTCTACCGAAACCAACAGATGAAACGAGCATGTAGTATATACCATTCAGGAGAAAAGGAAGGTGGAGCTGTCTACTACCAATTATTGAACATTGTAACCAGAGCTCTATTAGAAAGTAGACAAGAGCAGTAGAGCAGACAGAATCCCCTGGAATCCCGTCACAGTGTCACAAGAATACCCGAGTAGCATAGCATATACGGCATGTTGAGGTTGTAGATAAAGTCTTACCAACGGCAACAGTGTGCTCTTATACTTGGGTTTACTTACTTGAACACAGTCCCATTTTAGTTAAGCCGAGGCATTCTGCTGGCCGTCATTCAGTGAATGTACAAGGTGTACAGTGAAGTTCA